GCTGTAAGATGAATATTAATTCATCAGCTATGTGACCGGTTTTGATCAGTAGGCTCAGCATTTGGCTAGCAGGTTCCAAGCAGCTGCCATTCAATAGAGTTCATCTAAGTCAAGTTTTGCCTTAGCATAAAGAAGGATGTTAAACAGGTGAAAACGTGTAACACTACTTCCTGAATGATGTGCATTATTTAAGAATGCAGAGTTCAAAAGTATGTGTTATAGATGTACTGGGTTAGAGAGAACAGATTTAAAAGGTCTTGACAAGTATCTTACCAATGTATTTCTTGGTTTTCAGAGATCTGAATGCCAGTAAATTCACCATTCTGGAAGGACAAGAGAGTATTAGGTTCGCAAGAATCCTATCTTCAGAAACTGGCGAAGTTGGACAGGAAGCAAGCAGGTGCCCACGCAGCTGATAAACTGGTATTTTCTCTTTACAGAAATCCTCAGCAATGAACACTCTACCAGCAATATCCACTTTTCTGTATCTGTGAAAAATGGGTCCAAGTTTCAAATCATTTATCTAACCAATTCAGAAAACCGCCTGAGGCCATGATCTCCTCCTCCTCTCTCCCTTTCTTCTTTTTATTTTGCTACATCTTGATATCCTCTGGTCTTCTAACAACCTGCCATCAGGGCAAAACTTTCACTGAATAAGAAAATAAAACCCCACATTCCAGTGCCATCAGAACTATTTTCTGTATGCCCAGCTACTCTTTGTGGCTGCGGGCAGAGTCAGCTATATGGCACGCATCTATCCGGAGTGCCCAACTCTTTTTCAGAAGCATTGTCAATACTGCTTCCAAAGGGATAGAAGGTGACATGGACTTGCTTAAGTCTTAAATCAGTGACTTTCCAATCACAATCATTGCCACAGCCTGAGTTTCAGTCCAGCACAAAAAGTGCATACAAAAGTGGTCATATAACTTTACAATAAATAAATAACTCCATAAAGAGCTGGACTTTAGGAGTAACTTGCTCAATTAACTTTCATGTTTTGCTTATTAGCTTTCTGATGTCTCATGAAGTCAGGGATTGCAGTGTAATGGATTTAGAAATAATTTAAATAAATAAGTGGATTCTAAGATACCTTAAAAATATATTGATCCTTTAAGCAAAAGGGCCATTTGAAGCCTAACTATAACTTCTAGCTTGTACTCTGTAGAATATTTATCAAGTTTAAAAGACAAGCTTTAGTAATCTTAGAACAGCTTAACAACATAAAGTCACTGGCAAGCGTGTAAAAGACGGGCTGCTTGTATTTCAAAGCCACAGCTCCTAGAACAATTACTAACATAAATTTCTTGATGCCGTGTTTATGAAATAACTTGCAATGGGAATGGAGAAGAAAGCCTGAAGAAGCACATGCGTGCTCAGTGTGTTCCAATTGATACATCATACTGTACGTGACGCTGGTAGGTTGCCCAGATTAACAGATGCAGGTCCTCCTTCAGGGAGGCTGACATGACAAATCTCTCAGAATATGATGCCAAGAGTCATATATGGAACTTGAATGAGCTCTCAAAGAAAAATACTTCTCTTCAGAATGATTTACTGAGCAGTAACCTAAAACTTTGATGTGAGAATACATTTATAAACCCTATGTTTGGATGTTTTCTTAAAAAAAAAAATTTGCTAGCATTCATGGTATGTTATTAGTGTATTTACAATTTTGCAACTTAATCATGTGCAATATTATTTGTTTAAAGAAACTTCTAATCCTGCCAATATTATTCACAAACTTATGTTGCTTTTGGAGAATCTTAGAAACATAATGTTGAGACCTCAAAAAATACAAGTTAATATCTTCAATAAACTATTTCCACTTACTCATTGTAATTATGCGACAGAACCTTGAATTTTGCCTTCCTGAGGTATATGCAATCCACAATTTTTTCAGAAGAGCAAATATACACAACGGTTACAAGGAAGGAAAGGAAATCGTGTTTTGATGCCAAGCGTCTCTTCTTGCCTAACTGTCAAGAAAGAAAACCCCGAGTACATTCAACAAATGGTTAATCCTGAGTTCATAAACCTGTAGTGTAAGTCACATCATCGTGAATAGTCTCATTAACTCCAATAAGTCTGCTTATGGTAATGGACTATTCAAACAGTGAATAGTTTTACTGGGTGAACAGTGGGATCACTCAAGAACTGAGGCCTTTAGGTGAGGAAAGTACAATCTGGTGTTGTGTTTTGCTCATCAGAACCTGTTGCTCCTTATCTACCTTAGAGATAAACATGCTGCATAGAAATGCATTTACCTGTAAAACAGTTCCATCAAAATTCAGTCAGGAAGCTTTCACACACAGCAAAGGGAGATGCAATAGAGAGGACTCATCGTAACTCTAACCTTGGTTTCAAAGCCTTATCAGATTTGTCAGATTTTAACAGTATACTGGCACAGCTATTGACTTCAGGCCGTAAATTAACAAAACTCACACCTGCCGTTTGGTCCTCTGATTAGAGCACCTGTGCCTGCCAGGACAATATGGTTTCCCTGGCTTTAAATTATATTTTCTATTTTACTGTGAGCATTTAACATACTGAATTCCAACTACGTGTATAAAATCGTTTCTCAGCCAAATCTTCCATGTTCAGTGGAAACAAAAATCCAGAGAAAAATACCAAAGAAGATTAAGCTTTTCACCACTTCTGTAACATCTCCACTGAAATGGTGATCCATGACATGGTCCAAGTTATATATGTTTCATAACCCTAGGGGACACTCAAGCCATCAAAATTTCATTAGCCTCACAGCAGTCCCAAGTACCTTCTTAAGTTGGACTGCTAGCCTCCCTGTCAATAAATAAATCAACTGTAACCCTTTTTAGTGACTAAACTCTTCTTTGAAGTTGTACCAAACATCAGACATTCCTTGCATAATTTTAACCAGTGCAGAATAATGTCTTTTCTAACATATTCACAGTCTTCTCACACATGAAAAAATAAAATAAAACTTTAATTATAAACTCATGGTGGAAGTTTTGGCATATTGTAATCAGGCATTTTGCATTTTTAAAAATTGTAAATATCAAGTTTATAAAAAAGTGTACCAAACCTATTATAATTCTGAAGCAGTCACCTCTTTGGTAATGTAAAGATACGACTATCTAAGGAAATCGTGTGTGCCTGCGTGTATATATAAATATACATTTTCAAGATCATTAACCTAGGGTTTTACAAAAGACTCAAGAGAGTCTGTTTCAGCATAGACCTTTCAAAAGGAAAATCACAGGTCCGCTCAACAATGTATTCCAGATTGCTTTGCAGCTGAAATATCAAGAGTCATCCAACAGAAACTCCACTGCCAAAAGGAGGTAGGCAAGTATTCCTGTCCTCCTCTTTCAAAACTTGCCTCCAACTCAAAACAAATTTTCCAAGCATGAGACAAGACACCTGCGAACACTGAGAGCTGTCTCCTCAGGTACCACGCAGCATTAAGTCCAACACAAAACGGAGGATCCCATCTGAGACAGCTGTCTTGCACAGGCATCTTCAGTTAGAACCAGACACCAGAGGAAAAGCAACAAGTATGAATAATACCAAAATATAGCTTTGGTTTTGTCTTCTCAAACTGAAGTTAAAATAACAAATAGGTAGGACTAAACATTATTGCTTATAGTTTAACATAAAACTGCATTTTTTTTTTTTTAAAAGGATTACCATACATACACATACAAACATTGCTGTTTCCCACAATGTGTTACAGCTATTGCCAGAGGATAGAAATAAAATTGCTCTGACTTTTGTACAGCTGAGCAGACAAGTTTAATAAAATTACATGTAGACATGCAGGCAATAGCCATCACTCTAATTTTCTTCTTTACTCGTTTTTCTTCATTCCTCTTTTGAATTTGTCATATAGAAAGTCATGAAGTTAATAGAACAATCATTTTAATTCTAGTAAAGCTGAAAATCTTCTGCAAATAAAAAGAAGTTAAAGATAAAATGTTTTCTAAGATTTGTGCATTTAGCATTTAACACCACATTAGGTTCTGTTCATAACCTCAAGTGGAGGTAAAAAATTTTTGAAAAGCTTTAAAAATGAATCAGTCAATTGTATTAACCTCTTTTCATTTAAACACTAAGCCTTAATATACAACGGTCATAGCCCACATCCTACAAAGCTGCTGTTTAGATTTTTTTTGCAGATTTTAATTGCACAGTAATCCAGTCCCCCAGGCACATCAAAGGCCACATGTCCCTCTTCGCCACAATTCCAATTGCTCTCATCAACTAGGAAGTTTAAAACACAATCAAATTTGTTTTCCAATCACATGAGCCCTGTTAATAAGCTATTCTTTGTGTTCATTCATCCATTCTAATATTCTGCAACTTCTCCAAGATGTCTTGAAGAACAGTTTACAATGAAACCTTTGATTGCAAGCAGGCCTTGGGGATCAATTTTATCACCACTTACTTAGCTGTCCCTCAAAGGGCAACAGGTGACATGGCCTGAGATAAAACAGAGCTAATCTTTTTTGTGATTAAACTCTTTCAAAATTACAGCTAAAACACCACACCCAAAGCTTGCATTAGTTAGGACTGATACTGCATATTGACTTTTCTGGGAGGAGGGGAAAAAAAAAAAAAGGTAAATAATTCAAGGCCATTCCTTTAATGATTTAAGATTATCGAATGTCAACCAAAACAGCAAATAAAACATTGATTTATATATGGGCATATGCGTAAGAACTTACCATTTTCACTGTCGGACTTGTTTTCATGTTCGGTATCAGTCAGAGTGAGGGCTGAGTTGGAACGGCTTGACAGACAGGAACTGCGCCCTGATTTGACCCCCCTGCCCCAAAGTCTCATGGCATGCTCTGGAGACATCACTCCTTCATTTTCAGTATCAGCATCTGACCCTGCACTGATAGAGTAACCTCTGTGGGGGAGCCCCATTTCCGCACAAAATGCCAGTCCTCGACGAGTTGCTGGTTCACAAACTCCTAACTGCCTTAGGGTAAAATTCTGTCCTGATTAGGGGAAAAAAAAGATAACAAAAGGTGAGAATTTTTTTTTTTTTTTAGAAGAACCTAAAAGTAAAAACTCTTCATGTGTATAATTGTCTCAGGTATCATACAACGTGTTTTGTCAAAACTCCACATGTATTACAATCAAGTGGATTCTTTTGTCTCCAGCTCTCTGCGGTGCCCCTTTTCATTCATACTACACCTTACACTGTTTTGTCAACTGCTTAAATACATCAAAAGTGTTCCTGGGTAGGAAAGAAACATAAGAGAACCTGCAAACTAAGAAAAGCCAATTCAGCACATGAAAGGATTAAAAATAAATGACAATTTTTTTTTTTCCAAAGTGTGAAAGCAATAACAAGGTATTTGTTAGGATTATCCTTTTTTTTTTTTTTTTTGGTCGTGGTTAGAGGCCAAAGCAACAGCCTATTTTCCCCATACAGATGTCATCTAATGTGGCAATGGAAAAACTAAATGGGAACCAAACTCACTTGGTCGTTATTGGATCTCTCTGCCCTACTTTAATACACAAACATAAACAAACAGGAAAACGGCCAGCCGTTACCTGCAAGGACTACAGTAAAGTTATTTTTTGTGTCTCGTATTTTGAGAAACATTTTAGGCTTTTACTGCTGAAGCAGAGTCTGTGCATTTTAAACAGACTTTTAGCCTCTGTTTTGGGGCAGAGCAAGAGACATAAGTGAATCCCAAATGACTGTATTAATAAATTAGGTGCAATAAACTCGTGACACTTCAATAACTTAAAGTGTCTAAATTATGCGACACTCAAAAATGACTGCCTTTTTAATGACTGTGTCTTCATCCTACTTTTATGTCCACAGATTTAAGACATTTTACGCTATATAGACACTTGGCAAGCTCATTTGCATGCCTATACCCATAATGCTTTTTCACCCTAGCCCACAGTTATTTCATAGCTCTGGGAACAAATTAGAACACACATTCAATTTTTTAATCTGACAGGCATCCTAATTTCTCCAAAATGAGTCATTTAACATAAAAATATGTTAGTGAGATAATTAAAGTTTATAATACAACAAGAACAAAATCCTACCAATCAGAAAGTAATAGAATTGCAGAAGTGTAAATACAGAAGTGTAAATAATTCCTGAAACGTTAAGAGTTAATGCCCTGGCCATTGACTTGTTTTAAGTGAGCCAATTAGTTATTTTATTGCTGCGGTCATATGAAGTTGTCACTGTAAGTTTCTTTGCAGTCAGAACCATAAATGAATTCTGACAATGACCTCCATAAATAATGAAAATCAGTTATTACAATTAGGTACAAATCAAACTGTATTTATTATGCAGCTGTGAATAAATATTTGAACGAAAATACAACTGGGGAGGTAAATATAAAAGGAGTAAGCATATCTGTGACTATGTTTGAACAGTGTGAAGGGTATAAGAACAGAGGATTACCATGCACACTGATAATATCTTGTCATTTTTTAAAGCTGTCATGCCATGTGAATTTTCAGGTTTTGTGAGAGTTGAAACTAGTAAGAGAAGCAAACAGGCCAAACAAAAGGCCCAGTGGAGCTGAAAGTAGTAAAGTGTCTAAAATGCTTATTATTTTGCATTTTGGTAAATATATGCTAAGGGTGACAGTCTAGAACACTGGTTTTATGTGTTTGGTACATTATTATATGAATCTAAATTTTCAAACTGTTGCCTGAAGTCAGAACCAAATATAAGAGAAGCCCATGTGCACGTGTGTATGTATACAGGTGTACCTACACACACATGAAGCAGCTAAGGTGTACACACAGTTGCACATGCAGCATCTTACTGGTTCTTTGGGAAGCAAAATGGAAAGGAAAGAGGTATTTTTGACCGAAGACAAGGTTACTTGAGTCAGTAACAAAACTGCCGTTGACTTCAACGCCACTAGGTGTTATGCCTACGGTCCCCGTAATCTCACAGTGCTGAGATCTGGAGGTGAGGAAGGACGCGGACAGACACAGGTACTGCCTCTTGAGCCACAATTAGACCAGCGGCAGCAGGCGAGCACCGCAACCTGCAGCTCCTCGGCCAGCCTGCACCACACAGCCCTGTGCTCCCCCCACTGCGAAAAGGGCCTCTTGGCACTCAGAGAATCACTCAGGGAGACATCTGTGCAGACACATCAATTTGAAGAGACTATTCCCCCACTCCCAGTTTTTTTTTCCTCTTAAGCAAACTATTATTTTTAAGAGAAACTACTTCAGGCGTTATATAACAACATCCTCCGTGATCACTTTCTAGGAGACTCTGTCTCAGGCACAACATACCACCTATCATCTATTAATGGATTTTAATTTTTATTTTAAGTTTACATCAGCCTACCTCCATGTAAAATATTTTCTTCCTTTTTCCCCTCTTATGAATGGTAAGAAAGAAAACCAAAATGGCATGTCACAGGGCCAGAACAGAAAAGGGGGGCAGGTTTTTATATTGCTCTCTCATCATATTCAACATATTAGAGCTTTTCACTACACTGAGAAGTTTTACAGCATAGCCCAGAAATGTTGTAACAGCTTTAGAAACATCAGGCTAAATCATCTTCTGAATTAAAGCTTTCCTAAGAGCTTTACTAAGAGGATTGTCCTCCATGTAAGTTGCCTACACAAATGAAAAAAAAAAAACCAACCCAAACAAAAAACCAAAACAAAACCCAAACCAAAAAGTTGACATGGAAAAATATGTATTTGTGTAAGAATTTATATCCCAAAGGAAATCATACACACGTGATACAAAAATTCTACATCATCTTGAGATTCCTAAACAATGAAAACAGGTAGTCTTCCAGGATCCAGCGGAAGCTGAACATGGCTGGGACACAGACCTAGTGGGCAGCAGAATAGTTGGGGGCTTTTACCTGATGGTGAACAATACTACAAAATAAAAATAAAAATTGAAAAGGAGGTGGTAGGAGCTCAGTGGAAAAAAGAGTATGAAGAAAGGATGTTCTCCTTCTTGTGTTCAACTTAGAGTTTCTAATTAACCTTTCCAGAATGACTTCAATGTGAGGGATTTAATAATCGGTTTCTTACACTATACACCCATTTGCAATTTCTCCCACTGACAATAAGTGCTTCAACAGTTCATAAAGACTTAAAAAAAACTTGGCGATTGTAATGAACTAATTCCTGAGAAGAAAATGTAGATACAGAATAAACAGATAGGCATAATGCTTCGTGGCTTTTTTCCCTTTCCTTTAAAAAAGTACAAAGTGTAAAACAGAAAAAAATTAGACACAACATTTCAAGCAGTTGTGTTCTGGAGACACCTTTGGGGGTTTTGGACTATTTGGGATGATATATCATTAAGTTAGGTTTTAAAAACTGGCAATAATGCTGTTTACTACCACTGTACATTAGATATTGCATTTCTCTTGGCTAGGAATATCAATTTATGGGTAGTGTAAGGAATGCTAACACCCTCCATTTGTGCAGACAAAACCAAAATCAATGTAATAACTCTAAGACAACCTTTAGGAGCTTGTGCAGCAATCACCGTTAAAAACACAGCATTTACCAACACTAACCATACACATCTACCTGTTACGTTGCAGCCACTTTCTGTGTAAGCAATGATCCACATACAATTGACTAAATACATACAAAAAAGTATACCAACATAATTTTAATACATATATGTTTTTTTATATATATATACACATATAAAACTATTTTTAAAAAAAAAAGAGAGAGAGAGAGAGAGCATGTGTGTGTGTGTGTATATTTCTCTGCCAGAATCACACAGGTTACATTGTCTAGAAATGTAATTTTTTTTTTTTTTTTAGTTTAATCAAATAGTGCACATAAGCAAGTTTGATGTATGCAGAAATTATGTATTATTTTAGAAAGTCAGAAGATAACAGCTGGAATTAAATGGAAACCTGCTGCATTTGTGTCACATTTGTTTCCCTGGCCTAAATTGGGGAAGTTATTTGAATTACTGAAAAATAGAGTTCAATTATGTGCTAGTCGAAGATGGAAAAAGGAGTTTCTTTGTATCTAACAATATACAGCAAAACTGTCCCTTCTGTTCTCAGGGCACTAGCTAGTCACTACAGGACCACTGAGAACATACTAGATGACCAAAGCCAAGCTGGACTGGTTTAGCAGGAATCCCATGCAATCCTATGGGATCTTAAATATCAACTACTTTCAAGTGTCAATTCTAGCTGGTTTCTTAAGGAAAAGTATGTGACTTCTTTGTAAATAAAATGTTTTTTTTTTTCCATTTACTGGGGCAAATACAGTGCGGCACACTTACAAAGGGAAAGGTCTTGAGAGGAAGGACATGGAATTGGAAGTAAATGTACCGTAGGATAACAAATTTGCTGGAAATGAAAGGACAAAGATTTCAAAAAAGAAGATAGCAAAACAGAGGCCTTGGACGCTCTATAAAACTCTGATAAGAAGTGTACAAATGCTGTCTCCAGAAGTCAGAATGTTAGGTGGGTAGAATACAATTACACAAAAGAGAGAATGAGTCGTAGATGTAATACCATCCATTCTGTCACACAAACTTCACAATATATTTACTAAAAAGGAGTTTTCAAAGTTGTACTTGCAGAGTTCTGTTTGCTAGGATGCAAGAAATCGCAGTGAAGACTGACAATGAGCTTTGCCTATGTTAACATTTTTTCTTTCTGATTTGGCATAGTATTTTGTTGTTATTACTTCAGCCTGATTTTCTCTTTTGTTTTGTGAAAATTATCTGTGAAATTTAAACCATCCTAATCCACTGTATCACATTTTCCTCCTGTTTTTAATTCCTATGTTTTTCTCTTCACTCATCACAACCCTCTTCCTTGTCACCTCTTAACCTCTCTTTCTTGACCTTTCCGCTCTATTCACTTTTCCATCTTAACCTCCTTTTCTTGTCATTAACTGATTTAGAGTAAAGCTGTAAGATACCTATGAAAGACAGTTGCTTCTCCAGTATATCCAGTAAACTACATAATAACAAACAGCATTAAATTATATTAAA